ATTCCCCAGCCAGCCCTGCTGGCTGGGGAATTCTGGGAGTTGAAGTCCACTCATCTTAAAGTGACCAAGTTTGGACAACACTGGTCTGTGGGAAAGACCCCGGGAGATGGGGTCAAGAGATGCTACTAAGGGAACGGGCAGATAAGAGGGAGCATAGCCCGCAGCTGGATAATAAGTGAGGCAAGAAGCTCTGAGGAAACCCTCCCTAGTTTCTTGGGCTGTAAAGGAGACGGGGGGAGAATGATACCTTCAGACTTGCAAGATTCTGTCAACGTAGCTCTACAATAAAGTAGAATTAGCTCATCTGGTTGTGCTTCCTATCTGGTTTACCCCACAAGGCCAATACAAACGCACCTTCCACACTGAGATTCCTCCAAGACCAGGAGAAGTGAGAGTTCCACTCGCCCCGCAGCTCGTAACGGAAAGCTGCAATTCGGCGGCTGATGTCCTGATGCAACGTGGACTGCAGGAACAAGGCCACTTTCTCTCTGGGCAGCCACCTGAAACAGTGCACCTTGGGCTGTAAGGCAGCCTCAGTCTCTGAGAGCAGGAGCTCCAAGACCCCGTCCCGTTCCAAGTAAATCTGAGCTCCTCGGAAGCTGCTAGAGGACTTGATGCAAGCGGTTACATGCTGCGGTTTCTCTTTGCTGGTGGCACCCGTGGGCAGGCGGGGGAACAGACTTAGGCGCAAAGCACCAGCTGGGTACAGCCATTCCAGCGATCCTTCGGCGCAGTGCAAGGAGATCTGTTCCACGCTTCCTGCTTCTTGGGACAGACCGCTACAAGGGAGAGCAAAACAGAGTTAGCCAAAGGAGAGGATTTATTTCATTTATTTATTTATCATATTTATATAGCGGCCCGTAAAGGGACTCTTTATGTGGAATGTTGTTTGACTGGCATGGTTCCCCAATCTGGTGACCCTGGGCACCCTGGCACAACTCCCAGGGTACCTGTCAAGCTTCCTGTCCCTCCTGAGCCAAGACTGGAATAGAAATAAATCAGGAAACTGGCATAGTTCAAAGTCCAGGCCTTGCCTTTTGCATACCTCTGAGCCCCGGAAGCCCCCTTAGCAGGGGGTTTAGTTGGTGGGTGGTTTGGAAATAACAGGGGGGGAAAGAGAAAAGGATAAACTGTAGCTATATGAATCATCCCTCTTCATTTAATTTAATTGATTCGATTTAGGCCCCTCTGACTCCAGAACGACTCTGGTTAGCTCAGACCATAACAGAGAAGATAAAGTGGAAAATCTTGGATAAAATCTTCAGAGAACATATGAACTCTTTGAACAAGATATAAACTCTTTGAACAAGATATAAACTCTTTGAACAAGATATAAAATCTCAGAAGAAATGGTGGAGTTTGCCTTCTGGTCAATGGCATTTGGTAAGGGGGCACAGTTCCCATAGCAGACCTTTGTCATGGCCCAAGCCCAGCCCCTTGGTGTCCCTTTTGCCCGCAATGTGGTCTCAAAATTTCCAATGGGCCCACTGGCCCCCAAAGATCCAAGGATCCCTGTTGTACAATATCTGGGATTCATGGATGCTCGGATCTCCCCATGTGGCTGCCCTTGGATTTTCTTGGGGAAGGTTGGGGTTGGCTAGACCCAACAATTCTGCATCTGTGCCCTTCATTACCACTGGGACGTTTGGGTGATGCCCCAATGACTCAGCCACCCCCCCCCCACGGCCCATCTGCTCAGAGACCGCGGATCCTCAGACCCCGACAACTGTCCAAATTCTCCCCCTCCATCCCATCTCGTCTTGGCCGATGCCATCCGGGGGGTGGGAAAGGCTTGACTGACGCCTGCCATTTTCACAGGAACAATGACTCATCACCCGTCTTCCGCAAAGGATCAAGATTGTCGAGAGCCAGATGTTGCAGCCGTGCCACCCCCTCCGCCCCATTTAATCACAAAAAGCTCTATTGAAGCTCCCCTTCAGAAGCCCCATAGATAATGAGGCTTGAGGGCTGTTCTTTAGGAATGAAAGGCGGCCTGGTTCCCAGAGAAAAGGGATGTCCGCTCCGATACTCAGTGCTACAAACACAATCTCAGGATTCCCAAAGTCCTTAAATCCCCCATTTTTTTTCTCTCTCTCTCGCTCCTGTAAACAATTCTGGAGTCATTTTCCACCAGCTGCTTGGCCCACAGACCCTATTTTTCCTGTTTTCTTTTTAAACATTCTGCAAAAGGGAACAGGAGGAAAAACAAAGGGGCGAGTTGCTAATTGTATTATCTTAATTTCTCGCATGCGGGAGCTCCAATGATTAATGCCGTCGCCCTGAGTCACTCTGCCAAACGAAAAAGTATTATCCCTTAGTGACAAGGAAATATTGGAGGGGAAGGGGGGGGTAGCGGGGATTGGAAACAGCAAGCTTAGAGAGAAATGGCTTCTAATTATGAGATTTGTTTTGGGGGGGTTCCCTGGGGGGGGTTCCCTGTTTCTCCTTCCTCTTTTCATCTTTCAAATTTAAAACTTCCCAAAGCCATCATCCAGTGGGGGCGCAGGGTGACTGAGAGTCAGGGGTAATGTAATTTAGTTCTGCAACCCATCTGTGGAAGATCAGCCTTTTCCCACCCCGGTGGCTTCCAGATCTACTAGAACAACAACTCCCAGAATTCCCAGCCAACCTATGCAAGTCAATCTTTCTCTGCTTGATGTTACTCTTCGTCGATCCTCTTGCGTTAGGCTCTTCTTTCTCTCTCATTTCCCTTCTTAATAGTTCAATTATGACCTTCTTGAAGGAGAAACCTTTTTTGAAGGATTAGTGTAATTATTTCTTTTCTTTCCCATGTTCCTCTGGCAGCTGAAAGCAGAAAATAGGGCGAAGCTCTCCCCTCGTTTGATCCTCACAACAACCCTGTGAGGGGGGTTGGGCTGAAAGGCAGTTGACTGGTACCAGGTCAACTAGGGAGCTTCAAGGTTGAATGGGAATTTGAACCTGGGTCTCCTCAATCCTAGCTCAGCATCTTTAACTACTGCATCACAGGGCATTATTA